GAGGTTATTTTGGTGGAGCTCATTCGTCCAGTCTGGGATGTAATGGCCCGTCAGATTGGATAATACACGAAACCTGCAGATCTTCTGATGACACAAATGTCTGGAAATGACCTAGTTGGAAAAGGTTGATCTACAAACTTCCCAGAAAATGGTAAACGAAACATTATGGTGCCTTCACAAACGTGCATTTTTCATTTTCTTACGAGTTTCATGTTGCACGTATTTCTAACTTGAGTTGAATCTAGATTATTTTCCTTTTATTAGAAGCGTTCTTGTTTAGAGGGATGGTTAAAAAAGCAGGTTATTTTGCATACCTACCCCAACCTTTTCTCGCTCGTGACGTCAACCAACCCTCTCATTTCGCAGTCATCCTCTACCCCTTGGCCTGAAACAATTTCCCCACACCACCGAAACCAACACCAGTCCTCTCCCGTTTCCAGTCCAGTCAGCGGGGTGAGAGTTTCCTCGTACATCTCCACAACTGTCCTCTGCTCTGTCATCCCCCGGTCGCCGCCTGTCCTGTCACTACGAATCCTGTCCTGTCACTATATCATTTGAGAGACACGTTCCCCATAGTCGCCTGAGGGCTGAGCCAACCTCTGACCTCTGGGCATTCTGGGTCAACGAGGCCAATCAGCTGTCTGGCCGCAGGGTGTCAGCCAATCAGCTGTCTGCCCGGAGGGCGGCGGCCAATTAGCGTGCAGCAGTCAGCTGATGAGCTGTACCACGGTTGTTGCATCGCAGAATGATAATGCTGCAGAGGGTACCTTAACAGCGGCAAAGATGCTGGCCTGGCTGGGAACTGGGATGGAGGTGCGAGTCAGTGGCGGATCCAGGATTTTCACTGGGGAGGGGCTGCAGGTCATAATTGGGCGCCACGCCCCGGATGGGCGCCATAGTCGCATCGTATTGGCGCTGAAATATTGGCGCCCAGTGGCCCTGACAAGAGGCGCCCAGGATCAGTATGTACAGTGACACCACACGATTGGAAATATCGGTGCGGAGCGTACTGAAACGACGTTATTCGACTGATTTTTGCATCCTAGTCCTAGTATGCGGCACTCCGATGAGTTGCGAATTGAAAATTGGCGCCACTGCGCCTTCGGCGCAGTGGCGCCAGTTTTCCTTGGGTGGGGGCTGCCAGCCCCCGCAGCCCCCCCCCTGGATCCGCCACTGGTGCGAGTAATCGCAAAGACGTAGAGGATTCTGAGCTTGAAATACCAGAATGCTTTTGTTGTTAAATGAATGTAAATCATACGAAAAGAAACGTTCTATATATTATTAGGTAACCATGTCATGCTGGTGCCTGTCATTTTTTTGTATACATAGGTGCACCGCTCTAAGTAATGGTTTATATCTGCAGCTTTTAAGAGTAACCGTTTTTGTATCATTATTTTAGCACAAAAAATCCGTGTAACATCATGTCACATTATCGGTCAACCTTTTGATTAAAGTCAGCAAGTGAATATGTTCATAAATGAAAGCACATTGAATCAGGGTTTGGCATACCAATGCGGCTAACGCTAGTGCTTCGAGAGCAGCTCGCTTATAGAAATTACGTGACATGGGTGACAAAAGCGGGTTCCATCGCGTGACACCTACGAAAATAACAGAGGCGGCAAATGCAGAATGTAGTTCACACGTGCCAACTTTGAGCTGCAGTCAGTCATTCAGCTCAATGACGGGTCTTGTTAAGTCTGTGTGGGTCGGGCCCCGAGGTATGAGCAGACCCTAAGTTGAAAATAATTCCCGTTGTTACACAAGTCAATCTACCGTCACATAGAATCAAACTAGATAGTTCGATGGCACGAGACTGCTAAGAAGTATGGGTTTCTCTGCACATAAACATAATCATACATGCAAATTTTATTGAAATATTGCACTAAATTCTAGTCATACAAGGTCATATTGTTGGCTGTGTGCAAATATGAGAGATCACTTAAGGCCTCGTTTACATCATTTTGAAATGAGTAAAAGGAAAATGCCGTGCTAAACATTAGAATATAATATACGATCCCGAAATAGCTTCCATGCTTAGCATGCAATTAATGCAATATATTTTATCAAAACATAAACAGCATGATATCACGAGGGTCGGTAAGCAACTGCCTTGGGTAACAGGCAACTATTGACCGTAATTTCGGAGGCCAGCATTTAATTAGTCGGTAGTCCTATTACATTTGAGCCAATAAATGGAAGCCGTGTATAGGGAAAGAAGGAGTACGAAGAACCCTTCCTGACAGTTAAATGGAAAACCGGTAGGGCGGTAAAAAAAAAAACGGCTTGGATCGTTTCACCGCTCGCTGTTTCCCTCCGATGGAACTAGGCTATGGACAGGGGCACGGTGGTGGCTGCGTTGCAAAGCATATGAGAAGGTCCAGAAAGCGTCTAGTCTAAGTAGAAAACCTCAGTTGACCTGTATCATATAACAAGCAAATAAAATCGCTCACCTCCGAGGACCCCAAGATGATTGAGCCTCTTCATGAAAATCATCTCTTGTAGGACCCGTGTCCGACAAGACGATACACATCGGCTCAAGGAGTAAATGAACATCTTCCGACACCCTATCTGGTTCAAACATATTAACTCGTGCGATGTATACAGCCGCACCGCCGCGATAAGGGTCAAATGAGCTGGTTTTACGTTTGGGAATCTGTTTGACGTCATCGGAACAGAAATACTGCCGCTGTCAGCACACAACTGGGTGAGCAGAACACAATTATTTGCACGGTTTCGGCCATAAACCGTGGGGTAATTGGGCTTCTAATCGTGACATGGTATGTCAGCCAATATTGATGTGAAATTTAGAGTTCCGGTGGTTATGCATGGCCAAGCACATTGGCTGTAGTTTTTCGAATAAAAGCAGTTTCATTTTTGAAGGGTGTGTGACGAAACAGAGCACCGCTGTTTTTGAAAGCTCCGCTTTTAAAGTCTGTTTATTATTCACTGTTCACGTAAAGCCAAAAGTTTTGTTTGTTTCCATTTTTCAAGCTACTCTAAACTCCATTACATATCTGAGGAGTTTGATCATCTATGAGATTCACAAGTCAAAAAAAAAAAGAAAAGAAAGACAGCTTCCCGCAATAAAAACAAAAGCATTCAACCAAACCAAATCGTGATTCACATAAAATCTAGTGTCATACTTCAACAAGCAATCGTATTCCAATAGACCCCAGTAACGCAGGACCAACTTGCACAAACAATCTAACTCCTGGCACGAACAATCAGATTCCAACTCGCACCAAACATTCGCATCCAGCTTACACCAACAATCTGACTCCGCCTGGCAGCACAGCTCCGGTAACCACAGCACTGGGCAGGTGGTAAATGAATTAATCGGGATCGTACATCTGCGCTGCGGTCACCACATTCACAATTACCATCCTTCAGAGCGCTGCAGAGGCGAGTAGTGCATCACCAGGCCGCATTATCAATGACACCGTAATCTGAGCACACGGGACGGGGAGAGGGGAGAGAGAGAGAGAGAGAGAGAGAGAGAGAGAGAGGGGGGAGGGAGGGTGGCAACAGGCCGACAGAGCCACAGCGCGGGGACTGGAGATCAACGGTGAGCGGGGGTTGGTGATGTTTGGGGGAGAAGGATAAACAGCGGCAGGTGGTTGGCAAAGAAGTGGATAGAAAATTAGATCCCAAAGTCAAATATCATGTCGCCGCCACACGTCTGGACAATCACTGGCAGGTGATATTTGCACATAGTTTTCCAGAAATAATGTGCCCTGAGTTTCCAACAGCAGACCTTGCAAAGACCGCCATATTCGAAAATGTCTTCTTGATGAATGAAACGTATGATGAAGGGTAGACGTCAAAGTGGCTCGTATTGGATGAAGTAGTTTTCTTTCAAATAAAAACAGTTTCTTTTTTTAACAATATGTGATGAATGAGAGCGCCACTGATTTAAAAAGCTCCGATTTTAGAATATGTTTGCTTTTAAAATCTCGTTCTTTCAATGTTAAAGCGATGTTCAATGATGGAAAAGTACCTAGGCCAAAGAAGTTTCAACGTGAGCCATTTCAGCACGGTGGCACGGTGGCACTACTATGAACGTCAAACCCCTTGAGACCCCACTTTTTTGCGATAATTTTTAAATGCGTCAACTTTCGTTGACAATATTCTGGCAATGTATGTTTCAGAACCTGCCGAAACTTTTATTACTAAGGTATTTTGACGCCAAACGATTATGGAAGGTACTTCTCATTCACTCGTAATGTTAAGGTCAATTCAGGCCCGGGCAGAGGCTTGCGCTCGGCCACACTCGAGCCCCGCCACCAGCGCCATCTGCTCTAAATGCCATCTACCAGCGCCCGCTACCGCTACCAGCTACCGCCCACCATCAAGCCTGAATGGAGCGAGAGACGCGAGTGACCGGTCGCCGGGCAAGGAGCGCCGGAGGGGTAGGGCGGAGCTTAGCGCTGACGTCATTACGTGGCTCCGCCCCATGAGCGCGTAGCCTCTACCCAAACAGCAGACTCGTTCCGTGAAATTTAACATTACGAGTGAATGAGAAGTACCTTTAATAATAGTTTGGCGTCAAAATACCTTAGTAATAAAAGTTTCGGCAGGTTCTGAAATACACATTGCCAGAATATTGTCAACGAGAGTTGACGCATTTAAAAATTATCGCAAAAAAGTGGGGTCTCAAGGGGCTTGACGTCCATAGTAGTAGGGTCTAACATCACTTTCCAATAAGACGCCGAAGATTGCCAAAAAAAGGGATTTCCCTCTTCACCAATTCTTTTTAAAAGCAAAATCGTAGCTTCACAAATAAGGTCAATTCGGAGTTCTATAGCCTTGGCCAATTCTTTCACACGTTATTTGTATTGCTTACTTATAGCTTAACCTATATGAGTCAAGCCGATTTACTGCCTCAGTTTGGATGCTCGAAGCAAAATTCTTTGTAACAAATGTAAAAAGTAAATAAACAATTTCTTCTTCTGTGATAGTCTGTTTGGGGACCTCTTGTTCGAGCCGTATAACCAACACAGTTTTTCTTTTCTTGAAGTATGTATTGCAAATTTGAGGACAGAATCCAAAAGTAATAAACAGTCGGCCGAGACTTTGAATAACGATACGTCAGGCCGCTACGGCGGTTGGCTTTCGAATGAATCTTTCACAGCTCCTGCTCGGCGTTCGGCGTCGGCCGCTATATTGAAACGTCATACACACACGTCCTACATATAGATGTACGTCATATCATAGCACCAATCAGAAGCGGGCTAGGACAGGCGTCGCAGGTGAGGAGTGAGGACCATATAAGGATATTGTAAGTGGGCGAGGGGGCTGGGCAGTAAGTAGGTACAGAGGGAGGTGGAGGACGGGGTAGGAACGAATTTCGTTACAACACAACGCGAGGTCCTTAAAGCTGAAATTTTGACCAAAATTTTCGGCTTGGGATACTCCTAATATGATGCATGATATAACGTACACAACACACGACACAGCAAAAACAACACCTAACACAACAATATACACAGCACCTCAACACACAATTTCCCGTTCTTTTTCGTTGTAGTCCTCGTAGCTATAAGTCTATAGAGTCTTCTTCATTGTCCGCTTACGAAACATAGTCTACTGTCCCACTCGTGCTCATCGATTCGGTTCTCGCTTCGCAATCACTGGTAAAATTCCGCTGCGGTCACATCAGTTCAGGGAGTTCAGAGAGTTCAGAGGGTTTAGGTCACCTTTGACGCTGCTGTCTGACACGTGTTTGTCAGTCCATTGTCCATTGACACCAGATCGTGTGTCAGGTGTCGACACGCTGTCGCCAGATGATGTGTCAGATATTGACACATTGACGTTCTCACGTCTCGCGTATTGTTGTGGGTCGTCCGTCCGGTGTCGGCTGACCAGACCACTCGTCAGCGTAGTTTTATCGGGGCGCCCGGACGTGGGGTGTCCGATGCGGGGCGGCCCGATCTCAGTGGCGCTGACTAGCACCGGCGGCGGCTCGACCGAGTGTGGGAGCGCCGCTACTGGTACCTCTGCTGCGGAGAAAGAACTCCTCTGGAAAATATTTGCATCAGGCATCTGCGGATTTCTGAGAAGCGAGGGTTGGAGACGGTTTTAACCATTTTAAGCACGAGGGACTTGGGTCCGTGAGTTTTTCCCGGGGCTTGATATTTGGAGCTACACTTGACGTTTCTTCAACAATAACGCTGTCAGGGGCAGGATTTTGAGCGGATACTTTCTGGGGTCGGATCATAATGGGTTTAAACACATGACATCGGACGTATAGAACAGTTAATAGCACTAACGCAACCACAATACACGTTGTGACCGAGATGGCGGGGATAACGACAGTTTTATTATGCTGAGCATTGCGTACTCGAATCTGTTGAATATGTTTCTTCAAGTTAGACAAATGGACACTTTTGTCCTGAAGTGGGGGAATGAAGTTTACGGCTTCGGGGAGTGAAACATTAGTTTCCGAAAAATCAACAAGTACCGCATTTGACCAAGTATCTATTACAATGTCAATAACTTTTACGCTCTGGTTAAACTTAGCAAAAAGCTGAATTGCCTGGTCACTTCGCAATTGTTGGCGGTGCTCTGCAAATATACTACTGACTTTACTTTTAAAGAGCTTCACATGATGCTCCAGCTTCAATACAAACGTCCATGATGTCCTGGTTTCGATGGGGATGTGAAGAGTCCAGTGGTCGTATGAAGCGTAGAGATGGCCTCGGGGCAGGAAGAGAACGTTGGCCGTTGTCGGAGATGTCAGATAGAACAGGAATGTCAGGAAGAACGGTCTTGCCCACATCTCTGGAACACACACAAACAACTATTAACATTTCGCAAACATGAGGTTAGTACACGAACAATTGAACGGTTCACTGACCGAACGTAAAATGAACAACACATAAATGGCTGTGGCATACTAGCCAGAGTCGGTATATCATTCAACCCAATACAACGTGGTACCGCGATTACGTTGTCTTCGGCATACAAACCGGGATCCATATTCTATATAAACCCTATAACACCATACAGCCGTTCAGCCTTCATCGTACTAGCTGGGTTCCACAAAATACTGTAGACATTCGGCTGTCATCCGACCTGTAATAACTCAGGGGGCCGGGGAACCTTTTTACATTTTTTCTAATTGTTTGAACATGTCGGTCATCAACTTCTCATGCGTTTTCAGCATCTTAACTAACAGGGCTTCTTTCACACGTGGGTTAGTACACATTTGCTCCTTTTCAATATGTACACCATCGGCGTCCAATTCGTCTGAATCCGATTCGTGGTCTTGGTCGGCACATTGTAATTTTGAAGGAGGGCTACGCGCTTCTGCATCCATGTCGTTCGACTCTGATTCTGTACGGGTGAGTGGTCGTTTCATAGGGGTAGGTTCAATTTCGAATGGATCAGATAACTTTTCCGTTCTCAGGCGCTTTGCTAATTGGGACAAAGGAATATTCTCGTCGTCAGAACTATTGTCTTTCGATTTTTCTTCTCTCCATCGTTTTCGCATTTCGGATAACGGCACGTCAAGATCTGCATCGGAATCAGAATCTTCAGGTAAAGGTGGGTAATTTTGTTCACTCGGCGACGGTTTCGCTGGAGCGTAAGTTTCAATAGGGGTTGATATCGAACTGGGGGTTGAATCACGAATAGACCGATCTGTGACTGTTTCAGTATTATGCATTTCCGTATCGGCGAATGAGAACTTTGATTGACGTGGAGGCTGCACACGAAGTGGAACTGGGATAAACGACTTCTGTTTACTTTCGTACTTGCTGTTGATATGATGTGGTTCTTCTGTCACGTTTTCCCAAAGGGTATCTGGATCAGCGAATCTCAAATTATGAACGTTCACTACTTTGACATCGCCAGACAGCTGGTTCTTAATGACAAAGGTTACGTCGTTGATGGCTTTGATAACGCGGTAAAAAGGTTTCCAATGGCACGACAGTTTGGAAGCATTTTGAGTCGCCTCTGTAGGGTTTCTGAAGTAAACCATATCACCGACTTTGATTTTCGTTGGCTTGGCGGTACGATCGTAATAAAATTTGTTTCTCTCATGACTTCGTACTAGGTTGTGACGCACATGACTGTAGGCAGAATGCATGTTTTCGAGCATGGTAGGTACGTAATCTTCACCTTGGTAACGATATTTTGGAGATAAAATGCTATCGAGTGGTAGAACAGGGTCACGACCATAAAGAAGGAAGAAAGGGGAATACTTGATAGTCTCGTTTTTCGCGGTGCGATAAGCAGACAAGATTGAAGGAAGCTTTGTGTCCCAGTCACGTTGAGATTTACTCACTAACTTTGCTAACATGTCGTTCTGAACTCTATTATATCTTTCGCATTTGCCGTTCGATTGCGGGTGGTAAACGGAAGTTCGGATATGCTTAATGTTGCTAAAAGTTGTAATTTGGTCTATGACGGCGTTGCAAAACTCTGTACCATTGTCTGAAATCATAATCCTAGGACAAGCATGGCGAGGGATGATATGTTCTAATAAAATTTGGGCAACCGTTTCTGCACTTTTTGATGAGGTAGCGAACGACTCTGGCCATCCAGAAAATAAATCGATGACAGTAATAATGTACCGGTTTCCTTGGAAACTTTCAGGGTACGGACCGGACGTGTCTACTGCGATCTGCTCGAAAGGAAATTTTGGGATTGGCATATCTTGCAGAGGGGGTCGCTCGCGTCTGAGCTTCCGCATATTGCAGGCGACACATGTTTTTAAGTAGGGGAGAGTGGGGCAAAGCGGCCACCCGGGGCAAAGCGGCCATCCATCGTTTTAGCCCTCCACAGCTGGCGTCAGTTCCAATTTATGATTTCCAATTATACTTCTCTTTGCGGTCGTTCGAATGAGCCAGACCGGGGTTTCAGGCCCATCGCCATTGTTCTGTGAAACACGGAAAAGCCTTTCTTGCCAGGTTACCAATTATGTTTACAATTTTTAAATGTTATTTTATTCCATAACCGTTTGGAATTTTTATAAGCGTTTTTGTCCATGCATTGCGTGGTTATCGTACATGCCTTCTACCAATTTTAATGCTTTTTACCCCACTAATAGCTGAGCTGGAATATTTTTGTCTCGGACGGTATGCGCGGGGCAAAGCGGCCGGGGCAAAGTGGCCAGCCCCCAATTGGCAATAAGTTGTTTCCATCTGGATAAAAACATTATTTATATTCAAATGTGTCGTCATGCATTCATCTTGGCCACTTTTCGGTTACATGAGTTACCAAATTATGCAATTAAATGTTTTTCCAAGAAAATTCTTTCTTTGTTTAGCAATAGGTGGGAAGATAACAAAGTAAACATCCATCTTCCCTTAAACCTTGTCACCATCAAATACCCTAGTCGTGCATGAGGCAACTATTCTGTTTCTCATATCGAGACTTGAGAAGTCGGCAGTGGCCGCTTTGCCTCAGGGATGGGGCAAAGTGGCCAATATGCTATAGGTTTAAAGTTTTGTCAATATCTCCCATATGTGAACGCCTTTGGAAATGAAACGCAGTCGGAATAAAAGACAATTTAATAGGGATCACATTGGTATAGAAAGAATCTTTCCAAGTTTAAAAATCAAGCGTCGGCATCGTTAGAAACGTTAGGGTGGCCGCTTTGCCCCACTCTCCCCTACTGAACAACGTCTCGATATAGACCGGACCAAAAATAACGTGAACGGGTCTTGTCGTACGTTTTATCTATACCTAAGTGTCCGCCGAAATAGCCTGAATGAATTTCTTCGATGATCAGTTTCTGTAGGGGCTTGGGAATAACTAACTGCAAGCCTGGAAATGAGGGGTATTTGGACGGATCAGAAACTCGATATAGTAGACCGTCTTCCAAAATATAATAACGAGACACTACAGCATGGTTCGAATGATTTGGGTCCTGTAATACTTTGATCAATTGTTGGATCTCGGGATCCTCTCTCTGAAGTAAACCAAGGTCGGGGTGTCCTTGTAAAAACTCTTTGAATTTTTCCTTGGGAGGAACCTCAGGTAACTCACTTCTTTTCACTTCAGTCTCTACTTGAACGTCAGGCGCTCTATCGGAATCAATCACATTCACACTACACGAAGATTCATTATTTACACCAATGTGTCTACGCATTCATCGACATGGCACGGTGATGACTCACTAGTCATTAATCCATTTCCTGGGATATCCGTGTGACAATCCTCTCCTGAGGTGTCCAGTCGCGACAATGCGTCTGCAACTACATTCTGACGTCCGCTAATATACTGTATATCACATCCATACTCATCTAATATAATCGCCCAACGTTGAATCCTAGCATTCTTCATTTCACTGGTGAACAGGTGCTTGAGGGGCTGGTGGTCCGTCATAATCGTAACTTTACAACCGAGTAAATAGGGACGGAACTTTTGTACACTATATACAATCGCATAAGCTTCTCGCTCGATAGTAGGCCAGCGTTGCTGGGTTTCGTTGAGCTGATGCGATAAATATTGGATGACTCTTTCACCCAATTCAGTCTCTTGGACTAGCGCAGCACCTATGGCGTTTTGTGACGCGTCAGTATATAACTTGTACGGCTTATCCACGTTCGGATATGCCAAAATTGGTGCAACTGTTAAAGCTGAACGAAGAGTTTCAAACGAAGACTGACATGCATCATCCCAATAAAAACGACGATTTTTCTTTGTTAGCTCTGTCAATGGTTTGGCTATCCTTGCAAAATTTGGAACGAATCGCCTGTAGAATCCACACATACCAAGGAATGATCTGACGCCTTTGACATTTGTCGGAGGACGGAGATTTTGTATTGCACTTATTTTCTCGGGATCCGGTTTGATACCAGATGGAGTAACTACATGGCCTAGGTATTTTACTTCTTGTTTCAAAAACTCACATTTTGACATCTTTAATTTCAAGCCAGCGTCTCTCAAACGTGAAAAGACTGCATCTATATGTTCTAAATGTTCCTCAAAGGTTTTTGAATAGATCAAAATATCATCCAAATACGCAATAGTAAATTTGTGTTGAATGCCCCACAGTACTTTATTCATAAGCTCTGAAAACAGACTGGGTGCATTGACATACCCAAAACATAACTTTTCAAACTCGTATTGACCCATGAAACAAGTGAATGCCGTTTTGGCCTTTGACTCGGGATCCATGGCTATCTGCCAGTACCCACTGCGGAGATCTAAAGAAGTGAAATATTTCGCACCTTCAAGCGAAGCCAAAATGTCGTCTATGCGCGGAAGAGGGTAACTATTTTTGACAACGATCTTGTTCAAAGCACGCAAATCAACACACAACCGTTTTTGTCCGTCCTTCTTATCTACAATCACAATCGGACTAGACCAGGGACTACGACTAGGGGAAATGATGCCAGCCTGCAACATTTTTTGTATATGCTCTTCTACAAGTTTTCTCTGACTGAAAGGCAACCGATAAGGTCGCTGTTTAATTGGTGGATGATCACCAGTTTCAATTGTTGCTTTCACTAAATCAGTACAACCTAAATCCAAATCACTTTTTGCAAACAAATCCTCATTTTGGGCCAAGAAGTCTTGTATCTTTTTACGTTGACCTTCGGACACATGTGACAATCGCGCTTTTTGACTTTCGGGGACGTCATCTGACGGTTCACTACACTGGTCACCTTCCTCACTAGCTGTAAATATGCATCCTTCCGGGTCTTCTAAAACTTCCGCAATGCCAATGACTGATCGAGAAGGCAAAACGTAATCCCTACCAGTGGCGTTCACTATCACGACTGTAATACGCTTGTTGTTGTCTACGTGACCTACACTTTCAACCAAACACAAACCAGGTTCTTCTCCTAGAACGGGTGCATTGCTCAAAGGTTGAACTATGCAATCTTGATCCAGCAATTGAACACGGTTGACTAACGCAGGAATCTCTATATACGACTGAGCAGGAATTGTAACTTTGTGAGGCACTCGAACCAAAGATGTCGTCGTTTGGCAAGTCAGACGTTGCGGTCGCAGAGGGATGACGTTACCGTTGAGGTTCATTGTCTTTTGTCCAAAATCCAATTGAACACCGAATGCGGAGAGAAAGTCGTTGCCTAGGATACAGTCGTTTTTCAGACCTTCTACGATTTGGAATTTGAACGGTTGATTAAATCCTGCAATTTTGACTTGTAGTACGGCCGTTCCGAAGTTTGTGAGTCTATGACCAGAGATAGAACGAATAGGAACGCAGTTCCTCGTAGAAAAACCCTTGATTTTCCTGCACTGGATTTTGTCAAAAGCTTCACGTGAAATAAGGGATATGTCCGCTCCTGAATCTACTAACGAATAGGCTTTTTGGTCGCTCAGAGATACATAGCACATCGGCGTATCAGGTTTAATTTTAATTTGTGCTGCTTGCGGTCCAGGTTTCTTTGTAGAAACTTTCCGTTTCGGACCGTCTTTCTTTGGCGCGTTTCTGGTCGCTATTTTTCGAGACGCGCGTTCGCGTTTCCCTGGGTACTTTGGGGAGGAGGACGGGTGGAGTTGCGTCGGCACGTTCGGCGTACATGTCCAGGTGTGCCACAAGCGATACAGATGGGGGATCCATCTTCAGTCCACTGATAGTTCGGTCTGGGAGTCTGAGGGGCTTGAGGGGGAGTTTGTACGTTGCCATAGTACGACATCAGCGGGGGTGGAACATCAAAGCGGACTTGCGGGGGAGCTGTCGGGGGAACGTTGAAGTAAGTCGGTGGGGGAGTAGTCGGAGGTACGTTGAAACGCACCTGCGGTGGGGCGGTCTGAGCACGTTTTTGCGGTTTCAGTTTTTGGATGTCGCGAGACATTCGCTGCACTTGGGAGGTTAGATTCTGAATAGTGGTCCGAAGTTCAGAGTCTGTAGCGGACTGAATACCACTGCAGTCCATGGGTTCGACGTCGGACTGAGGAGGGGAGTGATGGCGGCAGATTTGGAAAGTCCTGTCGGCCTGCTGCTCACTTTCAGCGAAAGCGAGGGCGTCGTCGAGGTTAGTGAATCTTTTCCTGATCAAATTTCGCGCCAAGCTGTCGTCGCTCACGCCTTTTTGGAACACTTCTACTAGGAAGCGTTGCGCCTCAGGGGCAGAGAGATTTTCGAATGCCTCCGACGCCATTGTCCGCAGCTTTTCAGCAAAATTTTGTACCGACTCACCACGGTTCTGTTTTAGACGTCTGCATTTTTCCGAAGCCAGGTACGGATCAGTCATTTCGCTATACCTTTCCTTTAGTTTGCGTCGGAGTTCCGACCACGTTATTTGGGGGTTTTCTTTTTGCATGCGTGAAGCGTACGCACCAGCGGATCCGTTTAAAGTGATGGTCGCCAAAACACACATACGCTCTGAATCGCAGGTAATAGATATCTGATCCATGTCGTTTAACCATTGGGCGAATTTGGCGGAACCCTCTCCGGAGAATGTTCGGATGTGCTGAGTTAGACCCTGAATACGGAGTTCCTGACAAATATTTTGGAGCGCTTTGGTGATGACTGCCTCGGACATTTTGAAAACTCTAGTAAATACAAATCAATCAGCGAATACAAACAAGTGGTGTTTATGGAGCGTTGACAAATAAACAGTTCAGTTGACACACGAAAACATCTGCGGAGATAACAGTCACACAATGCAAAAATTACACAAATGTACACAGGCACAATAACAGTTGAGCAATCGAAAGCGAAAATGTGGGCGAAGACGTTCAGGGAAAAGATAGGAAAGAGTGACAGCTTACTGTTCGTAGACTTGTAGAGCAATTTCTTGCGGAACCAATTTCAATTCTTGAGTTTTTTTTTATTTAGATCCGGGTCACGGCACCATTTGTAACAAATGTAAAAAGTAAATAAACAATTTCTTCTTCTGTGATAGTCTGTTTGGGGACCTCTTGTTCGAGCCGTATAACCAACACGGTTTTTCTTTTCTTGAAGTATGTATTGCAAATTTGAGGACAGAATCCAAAAGTAATAAACAGTCGGCCGAGACTTTGAATAACGATACGTCAGGCCGCTACGGCGGTTGGCTTTCGAATGAATCTTTCACAGCTCCTGCTCGGCGTTCGGCGTCGGCCGCTATATTGAAACGTCATACACACACGTCCTACATATAGATGTACGTCATATCATAGCACCAATCAGAAGCGGGCTAGGACAGGCGTCGCAGGTGAGGAGTGAGGACCATATAAGGATATTGTAAGTGGGCGAGGGGGCTGGGCAGTAAGTAGGTACAGAGGGAGGTGGAGGACGGGGTAGGAACGAATTTCGTTACATTCTTCGGTAAAACATGAATATGAGATAAATACGTTCATTAGCTGTAGCACTGCGCTCATTAGCTTATAGCTCTATCAGAGGCACTTTCTCACGACTCTGCTCCATTCAATTGTTAATAGCCATATGTTACATGATGTAAGCAGATCAATGAATGACTTAGTGCCGAACATTAAATAACACTTCAACAGCGGGTGATACATACACGAATCATCCATCTGAGTTCTGTTATTGATTATCTAAGCCCCTCAGTAAATCGCTCGTCATTTATTGGTAACCGATTTTAGTATTCATGATCAGTTTCATATCATAACCACCGATCACGATAGAAAATTGCGCCCTGGGAAAACAAATAATGTCTTATGGTGCACCGCCCTATTCTGTCATTGGATTATTCTCTCCCAAAATCACCGGTAATTATATGATGCAAGCAGAAATTCGTTTTACCCTGTCGTTTTACACTGACTGTTTTTTGAACAGTGCGCGCGTGCAGTGCAGCTGCACATCCCCACAGAAATGTTGAACAGATTGTTAAACGCAGCCACGGCTACAATAAAGTCAAATTATTTCTCTAACGGCCGGTCCAGAATAAATCTCTCACTTCCTGCCACGCGCCCTGATTTCTGGAGGACACCCCTCCCCCTCCAGACCACCTGCACGGGGGGGGGGGGGCGACAGATGCTGTGCGGCAAGCAGCAGATGTCAGAAGCACATCTACAATCCGTGTCCTGGGGCGGCGCCGACGGCAGTACGACTTCACACCAAGCATTGGCTGACGGACGCGATGGCTAAAGAGCAGTTCACATGACTAAAAAGCAGTTCACACCACGGCCATAGACGCGTTTACATAGGGTTTGTTGCAAGCTCCGTCTGTGATGTTGCAAAAGATGCCAATGGTGCTTAGCAATTTACAAAATGATTCCCTCTAAATATTTGAAGACCACTGCATCGAAACTATCGCCAAATAAAGGAGCTAGAGACTCGTCAAAAATGTTATGTAAACGCGACTCATGTATCGTGCGGTGATCAGCTGACTAATCCTGTGTCCCGAGGCTGGCTGAGCGACCGGGGTTGTGGGCGGCAGCAACTGGGGGCGGTTAGTGCGGTGGTGGAGGGGTCAAAAGGTCACTGATGCAAAACGGGCAGGGGTCAGAGGGTCAGCAGGTGTGAGGATGTGAGTCAGACTACAATCTGTGAGGCATGTGGAATCCGGGAGCAGGGATCTCTAAAGATTACGCCCAGATGAGCCTCAGCAAATTATGGTAAATAACAGAGACATCGCTGACACCCACCCTGAAAAATTCAAAATGCTCAACTACTGTAATTTTGCAGTGCACGGTCCACTCAATCATTGATGCGTGTTCAAAAAACTTGTTAGATGAATAAACTTTCAAAGAGGCTGGCAATCACATACTCGTACTTATTATTTTTTTTTCTCTAAAGACAAAATGATCGCTTCGATTTGAAGTTACCTGTAAGAGAAACTCCGCAACCTAAATTCAGCTTTTCTAACCAAGAAGCAGGCAGTGTTTCCAGCTTATTTGGAAGTGGCTGATTTGTTGAACTTCTAGTCAGCACATGGTCCTGACTGATAACAATTAGCTCCAAACAAAACAACACAGCATCACTTTCTCCTGTCAACTACTTCAAATCCTTGACCACATCTCCCTGCCAAAATAGTACCAGTCACGCACGAGCAGCTTTCGGCAGTAACCCGAGCGTCACTCCTTGATGGTTTTCCGATCGGGCCCGTCCCGATTATAACCCTCCCCTCTCCCTTCCCCTCCCCCTGTCATCACATCGCGGGGACAGCGCGCGGACCACGAGTGACGACGGCGCGCGCGGGGCGGTGGCTGGGGGGGGGGGGAGGAGCGAGGGGGAGGCCAGCTCTCGTAATTGGGGTGACGGCTGGCGGCTGGGCACGTGAGCGTGCCAGCTGACGCCGACGAAGCCGGCCACCTTCGACGGAAAGGTTCGGCCAGTTCCCTCATTCTCGGCGAAGAGGAAAGAACTGGAAGACCTGGTGCCAGGACGGAACTTGGTGGAGAGTTGACTCATTCCAAAGTGACGTGGTAGATCTTGGGGTTTTGGAAGGTGTCGGGAGAAGAAAGGGTACAAGTGAGGCTCTTGGGGAAAGGTGTGGCTCGTTTTGCAAGAGTGTTTCGCAAGAGGGAACTTCTGTGGAGTCTATGGGAGAACTGAAAACCCAGGTGAGTCTCGAAACTATTGTTTGTGTCTGTCTGTACCAAAATGTTGGATTCTTTTTTATATCTAATTACAAGAATTAATCTTGAACACTACAAGCGTAATGTTAAGACACATTAGTGATTTTTGTGCTAGTTCTGAGCTTTCGTTCATGTTTTTAGTTAGAAATTCTGAAAGCTGAAACTGGGAGCAAGGAATTCGTTACAAGCAGGAATTCATTTGCAATGAGTTTTGATTTTTGACTCGCGGACAATATTGGAGAATAAGAAATTACTCAACTAAGGACAGTTAACAAATATTGTATACCATTGCAAGGGTGCTTCTGTCTTTTATAGTTACCCTACACATGTAAGCCAAGAAAAACAGCTCATTGCTGCATTATACAATAATTTACTGCAAACTACACATGTGCATTGTCTTCGCTCAGTCCCCAGCAGGCACCCTGGCCATCCCACTATCTCTGAAATGACCTGGCCCACTACCTTGTTGTCCGCGGTCGCAGGGGGCGGTCCCATTTGGAGCCGGTCACACTTCATCGGGCCCTGTTTTCAGCCCAGTCTCTAACCTGGCGACACACCATTTCTGGCCCCCCGGCGGCACCCCGAAACAGGCGGGCCACTTCAGAAGCACCGGCTCGCCCCGGGAGCTCCAATAATGGGATGGCATCCCTGGACCGTCCGGCCGTCCCACTGGGGCCCGCTGGGATCCCGCCGGGACCCCGTGGGGACCGAGTGGTGACCAGTAGGAGCACCAGCCCCAGCGGGGGTCCCGCTCGGGCCCCGCAGGGGTCGGTGGTCCCTGTGGGGGTCTCCGGCGGGCCACGATAGGTGTTATGATAGCCAGCTAGCCCGTGGAGTCCCATGAAGTATGACACGTGTTATGGTCCTGCTGAGACCGACCTATAGGTGTTTGATATGGTCGGTGTAGGGTGCAGTCCCGTGGAGTTTATGGAGGGAAGACAATTGACCGGTGAGGGGATGCTAAACTGCGTGTGATTGCATTGAAAACGAGCTGCACTCATGAAAAGTGAGACCATTATACGAGGGCAGAGCTGGCAAATATTTCTTGGGCTAGTTTCTAAAGTTGTTGGTTTAATTACGCAGCCATACGCAGCCTAGCAACACAGCATCGTAAGGAAAAACTGGGTCACCTGTTATATAGTAGGTAGGTACTAAAAAATTACTGATTAAATTACCCGCCATTTCTTGCAAACATAAAATGATCATTACTGTGACCGATTAATTTCGTCGAAAAACTGTACAGCGAGAAAAGTTTACGTCACCAAAACCATAACATGTTTAGTTCAGCTTGAGCTACTTTTTGGTACTGCCTTCACCCAGGATACAAGCCTAAAACAAAACAAAATGCACATATTTTTTAGAAGCTGATAGACGTTAACAATTGTAAGAAAAATTATGAATGATATAGACTATTTGTTGTTTGAATCAGAGCGCATGAAGGTTGTGGAAGAGGGAAAAATGTGAGGCTGTTAACCCTCGCATGTGTGCGGCGTTTTCCAGCTTCTAATGTGTAGGGGTCGGTTGGACCCCCCCTTGCCGTTTGGCCCCTGATCGAGCTAGAGCTTCGCGGAAAAAAACGAGCGTGCTGCCCGTGACGAGAGGAAGCCGATGATACCCAATTTTAAGGTCCTAGGTCATTGGTTGACCTTCCAGGTCAGGTCAATGACCCAAAGTCGGGAAAATCGGGACCTATTAGAAAGTCGTAAAGTGTGGCTGCTAAGGGGTTTTTCGGGGTGCTGATCACGAATATCGTGTTAGTTTTGATCAGAGATGATGTCTTTAAGCATTTAGACCAGGTCGGGTCAGGTCAGGTCAGGTCAACCAGTAGGCGTCGTGACGGGTATTCGTAGTACGTGTCAACCGCCTCTGACAGCTTCGTAACATGTTACGAAGGCACCAAAACTACTTCGTAAATGTTCAAATGGTTGCTAAATTCGAATTCAGCTCCAAAAACTAGCCTAGAAACATGTAAAACTCGAAAAAGTGAACCGAGGTCACCCGAGGTCACCAAAGGTCAATGACCTGACCTGACCTTCAGGTGACCTTGACACCCACCCTAATGCATGGGAGCAACATCAAATCACATGTTTGAACGTTTGAAACCACGAAAAGCTTGCAAACGCACGGCTAATGCGAGCCGACGTACGCCGAATCGCGATTCCGGCCAAACATGGTCTCGGAAAAGAGGTCACAGGTCAAAGGTCATTTGGGTCAGGGTCATGAAATTTTCAGGGTAGGTGTAAAATTGATCAATGCGAGGGTACTGAAAGTTTCGTCGCGATCGGCCGCTTTTTACGCGAGTTATTCGCGAAAAACCATTGGGGGGGGGTCCATCCGACCCCCCCTACACATGCGAGGGTTAAGCAATAAGCCTGAGTAAAAATAATAAAATGATTTTTTTCATCACAACGTTGCCACACCTTTGCAAATGATTAATCAATTGCTAATTCAATGACGGTCTTTTCGCCTTAATCTATGAGTATCGGACAAGTTGAATTTATCTTGTCTCTCCCGTTTCAGATGGCGACTGATTTCGGCTGTCTGCGGCTGCACCGTCCCGAGGTGTCACGTGACTACCGTCTGCCGGTGACCGGCGCAGCACGTGACCTGACCTCTGACCGGTGCCGGGTCACCGCCTGCTCGCCTCCGCCGTACCGGGCGTGCTCGCCTCCGGCGTACCGGGCGTGCTCGCCTCCAGTGTACCCAGATTCCACGGCTGGGCGCTACGATCAGCCCCTGTCGGAGGCGGCGAACCCCCGTCTGCTCTCCCCCGATCAGACCCGCGACCCGGCAGCGCTGGCCAATAGGGAGCGCAGTCTCAAGGTCACACCGCCAGCCTCAGTCGCTGCAGGCACTGTGCAGATCAAACGTGAGGGCGCGCCACCGGCACTTGTGCGCGTGGCACCCGCACCGCGAGCCCCCGCGCCGCGACCGTCTAAAGCGCGCCAGAATGACGGTCTGCGCAAGAAACGGCGACTAGCGGCGAACGCCCGGGAGAGGAGGAGGATGGACAATCTGAACCAGGCTTTTGACCGCCTGAGAAGCGTGCTTCCCTCCATTGGAGATGACAGGCAGTTTTCAAAGTATGAGACACTCCAGATGGCTCAGAGCTATATCACGGCCCTGGCAGACCTACTGGGTTGAGCTGTGAGCTATGAACTGTGAGCTGTGAGCTAAGCTGGACTGAGCTTGGTTGTGCGAATTTGTGATGAGCCTTGTTCGTCTGTTTTGGGAATCGGTCAGTATTCAGCATTGAAGAAAATGCGTCTGCTGGCAAGTCTGATGTCATCATAGTTAGAGCGACTAGAAAGTATTAGCGCAAATAGCTTGTGAAGCCCACCTGCGTCGGTTAACGTCCCAGTGCACCACCGCGAGTGTCCTGTATTATTGACCAGTGCACCACACCTAGTGTTTGAATAGTCTCAGCACTTTTAGCCGTTGCTTAATATGCATTCAACTGTTACAATGTCTTCAGCCTGTAGTATGATATGTCCATTGTCCGTAGAACCAGAGGGCGTCCAAATAACAAAATCTTTGATTTTAGTCTCCTTTCATCATAAAAGGTATTATAGTGGTTTGATAAAAGCATAAATGTGAACAAATACGAGTGGGACTGACGCAAGACGTGGATCGAAAATGCGATGGCATTGATAAACTGTGATTCGCGTGGGACAGACTCGCCAAGTATTTATTGTATGTGTGACTCTTCTGCAATCTGCATGCGTGTGAAAGTGACCATAAAATCTTTCTTCCCTGTATCTTTCCTCTGTATGTAAACGAACTCTGTAGAGACAATGCTGCTCATAGTTGATAATTGTAATGTGATGATGTAAATATTATTACAAAAACAACTTGAGTTTCTTCTTTGCTTCATTTTCATTTTACCTTAGGAATGCCAAGAGCTTGTAGCAGCCACAAAGAACATTGAAAAACAAGAGCTGCAGACACCAATTGTCGGATATACGATTAAGCATAGTGAATGAGTAGTTGATACACTGTTAATACCTACAGATTACCGTGCTGAGCGAAATAATTCATTTGTATTGGATAGACAAAGATACTTGTCCTTGTATCTCTGTTCAAGACACACTTGATCGTGTATAAGGAGATTTTTTAAGCCTTTGTAGATTACATTTGTCGGCAGCTAGAAAGTCAAAACACTTCTTATAAGTGATAAAACTGGAGCTTAATGCAGTAGAATACCCAGCTCGTTGCAATCGTAAATTCAGTACCTATATTATCTACCAAGTAGCCATACCTACACACCGCGGCAAATCGTATTGCACCGAATTCCCTACGCAAAGCTAGAGATGCTTGATAAATTTCTAGATAAATTGTCACGGAAGAGTTTCCAAGGGAATGTCCGCTGGAAGTGAATCTAGGCAGAATCACACTCTTTCTTGGTAGTTATTTTGTTGCAAGAGACTTCTGGGTATCGTACACCCAAAAAGGTAAACATTTCGAAATAGATGAGTTACAATTCTATAGAATGTCCTTTTCAGAAAACATATGCATAATCAATCGTACCTTGATGACATAATCATTATTATTAAAATTATCATTAATTAATTAATAGTACTTTATGCGACCTTCACCTCGTTTAAATGTATTTTATGTCTCGCTCGACTTGTTTAAGCACGAGTTTATAAATGAACGAGTGAAACGAGTTCATTTATAAACGAGTGCTTAAACAAGTCGAGCGTGACATAACATACATTTCAACGAGGAAAGGTCGCATAAAAGATATTTAAATGATTTTTCCCGCCGATACGTCAATAAAGTCTTACTATCTTTGAAAAATAGTTGTGCATGTGCAGCAGATCGGTACAAAAGGAAGAATAACATTGTTAGTAAATGAAAAAACAAAGAACTTATAATGTAGACGAAAACCATACAATTTTCCATCCTCTTCCTTCCCCTCACACTTGGGGAAAATGTGGGAAACCGGGGTTATGGGTGGGGGAACATTTATACACATGTGCTGAATAGGAGCCGCAATTCCATCAGCATATAACCATCCATTTCTGTGTGCTCCTTGTGTCAAGTACGAATACAAACACGGTCAAATACTTGACTTATCACAGAGGACTCGGATAGGACTCGGATATGGTGATAATTTAATAGTCAATGATTATATTCGTGTCACCCGACTGCTGTAGGACACTGTCCAGTGTCCATTGTTCCTTGGTCGGCATTTTGCTCTAAACGAAGCAGCTGTCCTTAATTTATTTGAGAAGATATATGGTTTGCGGATGCATTTGTCACCCACTTCCTCATAACAGGGAGCATAAGGCACGGTACAAAATATTATCAGAGTTTTGGAGCGTGCCTGCTAAAATACGCAATTGGTAGGGCTGTTTAAATGCCATCACCGGCAGAACTGGTCAATTCGTCAATATGTTTTTTTTAAAAAAAATTCTATTGATCGATGTGCACGAATTTTCTTGTGATACCTATCAGCAAAGACATCCAATATCCATTTAACCCGCGCACCGACGGGGGTCTGCGCCAACTTCGCACCGACGGGGGGGGGGCGGATGACCGCCCCCCCCTGAGATCTCGAGAACGAAGCAAGATAGCGACAAGCGGTAAGCGGCATCGGATACGCACGGCCAAGATCTACAATTTTTACAAAGGTCATTTTCAGGTCAGGTCAAAGATGACGTCACAGGGGTCGAAAAAGTCAAAATGGCGGCGCCAGATATGGAGAGAGTTTTTCTCGAATAACTTTCGAATTAGTCAAGATAGGAACAAACTAAGGGCATCATCGTGATCCTCTCGTCAATCCGCATCGAATGATATATATGTTGACCTCGAAAGGTCAAGGTCAAAGGTTGACCTCAGGTCACGTGACCTCGAGGTCATCATGTATATCATTCGATGCGTCTTGACGAGCTGAACACAATGAGACCATCCACGCGTCTGTATCTTGTTCCTGTACGGAGTTATTGGCCAAAAACCTTTGGTGACCTTTGATGACGTCACATGACCTCACAGCTGCCCAACAGCAAAACAGACCTCAAGGTAGTGAAGGTTGATCGTATATGAAGTCATGTATGGTATATGGGGCCATTCCGACCCGTTTTAGTGGTAAAAACAGGGAGTTGATTTTCCCCCCATTGACTTATAATGGGGAGGTCGCGAAATTGACCTGACCTTAGGTCACCGATATCAAAATTCCGAGATATACAAATTGTAGCTACTAATGACCTAATAATATCCTGCGACTTTCAAAGGCCTCCGACATCTACTGTAGCTCTGGCACGGTGACAAAGTTGCAAAAAAGTGACTTGAGGTTGGGTCATTCAAAGTGACCTGGTGACCTGACCTTAAAAGGTAGGAGGTTCAAACTTGCACACCATGTGTAAAATTGATGAGGTTATAGTCATACCAAATTTCGCGGCGCTACGCGCCGCGGTTTTCCCGCTATTCGCGAAAAACCTCAGGGGGGGGCGGATATCCGCCCCCCCCCCGTCGGTGCGCGGGTTAAGTCAGTGGTCTATAAAGGTGATACAAAACAATATCATTACCCATACAATATACAGCTATGATAAGGCCATATCTGAATCTATACCAGGGGTCAATAAACCCAAAGTCGTTTAAATAATATTTATGCACTAGTGCATAAATATTCAACATTGCTTCAGCATTGCATGACCTTATTTATCATCTGGCGCCTCCGATTTCAAAGGATTTTCTTCAACATTGTCGAGGCGGGAAAAGTCATTTAAATAATTAATTAAAGGAAATAGTTCACTTTTTAACATGGGTTTTGAACTGGAATAGCAGTTCCGTAGCTTGGGCTGAGACGAGCATAAATCAGGAGCTTTTACAGCCCAACGATCACCCTAGGCAAAGATATTCTATTTCTCGTCCCTTGGGCTTGGGCTAAGACGAGCATAAATCAGGAGCTTTTACAGCCCAACGATCACCCTAGGCAAAGATATTCTATTTCTCGTCCCGAAAAAGGTGTCTTGCGTTGAGGATGTGTGCCTTGCATATATTTCCATCCAGTATGAAAAGAGCATGGGTCCCGAAAATTCTTCAGAAACTAGAGAAATTATCTACGAGAACTCTAGAGAAATTCTCGTACTGATCAATTAGGACATTCAGGGGAACATTATCAGATCGAGCAGATCGCCCAAATGCCGGTGGCTGCGATAATTTCTCTGTTTCTGAAGAATTTTCGGGACCCATGCTCTTTTCATACTGGATCGCGTGTGCCTTACAGAAACTGAAAAGTTCTTCCTATATCAAAATATAGAAAATAATATTTTGTTATAAAAAGGTTTTATTTTCTTTGCTGATTATTTTGAACATAAAAAATCATAAATCCGTTGCAAAAAAAATAATTTCGTGAAAGTGAACTATTTCCTTTAATAAAATTATCATTAAAATTTCAATTAAGAATTATAATGCAAAATGTATGTCAATATTTTGGAGAGAGTATCTCATCGAAATAAAAAAAAGGGGTGCAAAGTAATACTGAATATCTGTATCATCTACACGTAAATATGAGTAATACAACATATGATTATGCAAGCATAACACTTCAATGATGGGTTCTTACAAGTTCTTAGTTTTGCATGACATAAAAACATCTTATAGATATCAAATTAATATACATCAACAGAAAATCTTAGTTCCAATAATAATAGTACCAAATCTGCATGAAACACCAAACAAAGAAGTCCAAAACACTGGAGTTTTGATGCTATAAATGAGAGCACCCAGCCTGGCGCCGTGCCCAGACTGAGCCCACCTGACAAGGCGCCGACAAACCACAGGATACCGGTGAGTTAGTTGACAGCCTTTCACCAAACCCCTCGCCAGCCACCCAGCAGTCAAACATGAGCCTCTGAGCCCTCCTTTGAGTGATACCCCTGTTTGCCAGCCGCACCGCACAAACCACCAACCACAAAACGGCCTAAAGACGCAATAAGCGGGCCCAAACGAGGCCTAAAGACACCACACCGCCCCATGCGCGTCCCGGCCCGCCTATACAAACCTCAAAACCCCAGCATCGCCGACACACTAATAGAAACTGGACCGGTGTTTTACGCATTCAAATTGACCCCTCCAGAGCGTGGTATCTTATTTACCTCTTGCTTGTGTCCTTGGCGGAGCGTCTCAACGGCTTCCAACCAGCCAGACCGACGCCGGGGAGTTGTGAGCGACGCTTCTCCTCACAGCGTCGCGCCGAGCCGCGCACGCCGCTTTGCGCGTAAATTGGCGCACGAGACAATAAGTGGCGCGCTTAATTGTCGCTGATTAGGCGTCTGGGGGCGACGGGAGGCGGCGCTGCCGGCGAGCAGTGCGCCGCTGGTGGGCGGTTCCTTTTGTAGCCCGGCTGTAAGTCACGCTTGATGTCATATTTGGACTTGGGGCGAGGTTGAGGCGCCGGAGGGGTACGCTGGGGGGGGGGGGCGAGATTTGAAGAGCGGGATGTGCGAGTGATGGCCACTTAATTATCGTTAAATGATGAGGTGTGCGTAGTAAAACGGTAGTAATGATGTTAGAACGGGTGCCGCAGAATGCCGACAACACGTGCAGACCGAGTTTTTTTTTATTTTTATCCAAAACTTCAATGTGCCGTTTTATGCGATTACGTACAGCGTCAATAAAAACAGCTTCTAACAGCCAGAAGGGCTAAAGCAAGGGGAAAAACAGCCTTATTTGATGCGATATCAACATAAGAAAAGCATCACTAAACATTTGGGTCCTTTGTAGTTGTGACCGCCTGTGCTTTTTGCAGCAGTTCGCTTGTTGCCTCAAAGTGGGCTCGTAGCAGGTGTCTCACTCGCCGGGCCCCTCTTAGAGGCGATATC